GAATCTGTTGTCGGAAATCACCTTTGGAACTATGAGCCTGGAAAACTTGGATGCTGCAAAGGTAAACAATGTGCAGATTAAGATAGAGTGGAATTGACAAGCTGGTTAAAAAAGGATGATGCATTTCTAATTAGCTCACAGTGCCTTTAGTTGGAAATTAATTAGATGCTGTTATGTAAATGTCATGTTAATTAAGCAAGGATATTAAAGTGTTATAAATCTGCAAAAGGAATGGCTATTTTGTGTATTAATGCTTTGCAGTTAGCATGAAGGATCTGATAGAATATTTGTTTGATTATTGAGCTTCTGGTAATTTTTAGTTGACTGACTCCTTGACAGTCCATTTGTCCTAATTGATGTGTTTTCGCACATGGTGTAACTGCAGCCAATGAGGACAATAGAACCAAGAACTAAAAATGAAGAGTCATCACAGCTGTTTTAACAAAAGCTTTCCAGGTAGATTGCTGATCTCTATTTCCAAGGTTAAGGAGAAATACTATTTCTCTGTATTTATTCAGCCTTAAACTTTGAGGGCCTAAAATGATTGCCAGCCTGAATGCAGCTGTCCTCCAAACCTGTGTTCTCTGCTTTTCCTGAATCATAGTCTTCAACCCATTTATGGGTGCTAGCTCAGGGCTTTTTGGCATGCTCAGTAATTCTACAGTTTAAAAGAAAATTTAAGAATTCTGCTACTTTAGCTTGAAATGTTAGTGTTGATGGTTAATGCGATACCTTTTTCAGTCCTGGTTTTGGAAGTTAAAGTGAATTTAATATGTAGATTTGACCCCTGTCTTCAGCTTTACAGGCCAGAAATCAGTACTATTTCCCCAAGAAAATCCACTACCCTGTTGCAAATGCTATTAAGATTTCTAGTTGTTGGGAATAAAGCTGAAGAATTTCATTTCATGGTTCTCATGTGGAATTGAAAATGCAATTCATAGTGCTGCATTATGTATGACACCTTTAATACAAGAATAGAAACATCCCTAGAAGACAAGGTAGGGTATTCAGACTTACGGTCACAAACCACAGCTACCACAGACTCTAAATTGTTGAAACTTAGGAAAAAGTCCTCTGAATGTAGTATCAAATGAAAAATGATATACTGAATATCTTCAGATAATGAAGAGACTTGAAAATATTCTGATAATTTGTTTTAGCAAAAGAAAGTAAAAAGCAGTCATGGTGATTGGTTGAAAGTGAGTTCATGTTGGTTAATCTTGTTACCTGGCCCGAAGAGTCTGTCAGATTAAGGAAGAAACTTTTAACTGTGCTTTTTTTTTAACGTTTAAAAATCCAAAACTTATTTAAAACTCAGTTGCCACTAATATAGACTCGAAGGTAATGATAGGAATCGTTCTGTGCTTAGAAATACATTTATTTTCCCAACCTGATCCCACTACACACACAACACACACACACACCGCTCACTCACCAATAGAACTCAGTCATCAGGACACTTTTCACACCTTGCTCTTAAGTTATTAGCTCAGTTCACCCTACTGCTTGGGAAGGAGAGGAAGAAGAGCCAAAAATAGAGTTTACAATGATTTGTGGGACCATATGCCAGCCCTTCTCTCAGACATTAACCCAGTAAAAAAAGGCCAACAGCAGTTCTTGATGGAGCAGATGCCCTGACTTTGACCCTTGCCATCAACTTTCAAAATTATTTTGTTTGCTTATAGCCACATGGGACTCATGTTAATATTTTTATTGTAGACAGAAACCTGAAAAGGTTCCTCTTGAGTGACCCATAATTTCCTATATTCATTTTAACAGAGTTGATTTGAAATTAATTGTGTAGGAGCATACATCATATCTCCTGTGGCTACTTATTTTATTTGAGAGTACATTAATTTTGTATGTCACCACAGTTATTGTAGTCTATATATACAGTCTTCATATGCATTTATGCTGGATTTTTAAAGAGTTTCATGGGCTATAGTCTGCCAGACCAAACTAAATTCCAAACTCTCTGTTTATAATATTGTATCAAAGCTGGGATTTATTATCACTGCTAGTTACTGCTGTCAATTTGTTTTGGCTCAGCTCTGGTTCTATTTGTATTTACTGTAATGTAGTGAATATATTGGATTGGGTTGTTAGTTTAATAAGCTCTCTGGAGAACAGTTTCATTGTGATGCATGTTGAGATATGTATGCTAGGTAGCCTTAAAGTTTTTTGCATACTTGCCAAACCTGCATTAGGAATTCATTCATTAGGAGTTTTAGAAAGGATAACTGTCACCCTACTGATGAGGTAAAGTTTGCATTTGTAAACATGGAGTGTTAATTCATGAGTCCCAGCCAAATTTCTTTGAGGGTTTTGATTTGACCTATTTTTCCCTTCTCATAATTTTAATGAATAAACTATTTTATGTTCTTTTAAAAAAGTATTCTGGTGGTTAAGTCGTTACTGACTCTTGTGCTCTGTGCAGCTCACTGTGTTGTGGGAACTCAGTGATCTTGGCCAGATATTGAGCTGAGAGCTAAAGAAATTGTTATCAGAGACTGGAACTAATTGGGTTGTTATTATTTACCTTGTGCTCTGCTGGTCTAAAAATGCACACTAATCTCTTTCTTTGCCCACTCCATCCTATTGCATCAAAATGTCCAGAGTTGAAGTCTGGGAAACCTGTACTTTAAAAATGCTACCATGAACTTTCTGGATTCCAAAAACATTCTAATATTTTTATGTGAGATATATATACACACACACACACACACACACACACACACACATATATACATATATACACACTCTTCAGGGTGTACATTTAAGATTTGTACATTTCAGTATAGATTTAAGATTTGTACATTTCATTTTACTATTTTATGCTGTTATTGTTATACCTCAATTTTTAAAAAAGATTTTAATAACCCTGGCTAGTGTAGCTTAGTTAGTTGAGTGTTGTCCCAGGCACCAAAAGGTTGCCAATTGGATTCCTGGTCAAGGCACATGCCCAGGATACAGGCTTGTTTGCTGATATGGGGTGTGCAGGAGGCAGCTGATTAATGTTCCACTTTTACATTAATGTTTCTCTCTCTCCCCCCACTCTCTCCCTCCCTTTCTAAAAATCAATAAAAATATTTTTAAAGAAGATTTTAATAAATGTACATTAATCTCCTGATTCAGTCAAGCAGCTTGTATTGTTTTTGCTTTTTTATTCTCACCCAAGGATATGTTTATCAGTTTTTAGAGAGAGAGAAAGGGGAAGGGGAGAGAAGAAGGAAAGGAGAGAGAGAAACATTGATATGAGAGAGAAATATTGATGGGTTTCCTCCCGTACACACCCAACTAGGGATCAAACCCTCAATTCAGGTATGTGTCCTGAACAGGAATTGAACCCGCAACCGTTTGGTGTATGGGATGACGCTCCAACCAACTCAGCCATCCAGCCAGGGCTCCATGTTACTTATTTTCATGTCACAGTTGCCTATTTGAATCTATTTAATTTTAGTATGTTAAGCTTTCCCTGGGGAAGTAACATTTGTAGAAAATGCCCTGCTTTTTTGGTCTTCCATTTTATTCTTGCCTTATTTTGAAATTCTTCAAAAGTATTTCCAAGTGATGCTGGCCAATGATGAATATCCTTCTTCCTGATTACATTTAGCATTCATTACTTGTTCCATATTCTTTGACACTTGATCATTTTTGATCCAGCTCTTTATTGCTATCATGTATTTTTCTCAATTATTTACACAAATTTTGTCCTCCTAATAAGTTTGTAAGTTACCTGAGCATGAGACTGACCCATGATGGCACATAATAGGTATTTGCTAAGTGCTCTTGGACATTAATAATACACTTATTTAGTTTTTCCTCCCCTTTTCCATTTCCCCTCTGTGTCTTCTTATACCCACTAAGGTTTGCCAAACTGCTGTTACGTCCTTGGTGTAGAAAAGAGTGGACTAACAATGAACTCTTAGGTATGATTTCTAGGTCCCTAAATCCCATGGATCTTCGTGGCATAAACTCTAAGAATAGGTCTCAGAGCTTTTTCATCTTTCTTTCCTTTCGATGAGTAACTTCAGTGATATGAAATCATCTTCTGGGTGACATACAACTCTGTCAATTAAACATGTTTACCTTTACTAGTCATAGTCACCTGGGACCCTTTTCAGAAAATATGTGTAACATTTGCCTGTGTGTTCTATTTCTTTATGATCATCACCACGGCCCTTTCCAGGGCATATCAAGAACCAGTGGTCTTTATGTTTATTTATTAACTTCTAATTTCAGAAGTTAGGGCATGGTTGGTGGGGAGTGTTGAGGTATATATCAATATCAACTTAAGAACTTGTTGGTAGTCCTGATTCTGAACCAACTTAAGAATTTGTTGGTGGTCTTGAAATTATTGCTTTTCAAGCCTTCACCCACTGACTGACTAAATCTTTTGCATACTCTTGAATGATGCCTATCCATTAGATTTCTGGACCCTCAAAGATTCCATGAATGCCCTCTTTATATCATATTCTTATAATTAAACTAGACATTTCTTTATTGGTTCCAATGCTCTCTTTGTATATTAAAATGATCTATATTTCTTTTGACAAGCAGTTTGTTGTTCCTTAGGCAGCTCCCCCCCCTCCCCCCAAAATAAGGTAGTTTTGCAATGAATTCAAAGATAGGGTAACAACTGAGATCAGTCTAAGAGGGTGTACTCTTGCTGTTGCTTTGTAGGAAAGCTCATCTCCCCAAACTTGTGGGTAATTTCTTCTCGATGGATTGGAATTCTAGTTAAAATTTTATCCTTTAACTTTTTAACATTATGTGATATTCAGTTAGTTTTTATGAAAAGCATGTTCTAATGTAGAAAAAATATAGATCTAAATTGCTGAACTAAGTTCATCTACCACTATCACCACCTTCTCCATCTTTCCTATTATGCATTATTGCAGGTTGATCCCTGCCTTTTTAGGTTTCTTTTTATCCAAGATAGCAGCTATGGGCATGTAGCGGGTATGTCCTGACTGATGTGCCTGCCTTTCTATTTCTAGGTGGGCCATGCACAGACACAGCTCATGTCTCGTTAATCACACCAACCAAAAGATCCTGTGGTACAGGTACGTACATCATTCTTTTTTTTTTTTTAAATCCTCACCCGAGGATATTTTTTCATTGATTTTTAGAGAGTAGATGAGAGAGGGAAAGACAGAAACATTGGTGTGAGAGAAACACATCGATTGGTTGCGGGGCCCGGGCCAAAGAGGAGCCTGTAACCGAGGTGCCCTTGCCTGGAATCTAACCCAGGACCCTTTTGTCCACAGGCTGACACTGCCAAAGCAGCTAGGGCCGTACACCATTCTTATCTGGCTTCATTCTTATCTGAATTCTTCACAGAAATTAGCTACTGGTTGTAATGTGGTGTCCTTGCCAGGATGCTCTCTAATTTCTTCCATCAATTTTGAAGTGATCTAGTTTGTGCTTAATATTGGGAGTGGAGTGTGAGCAGAGATCAAAGTGGTGCTCTTGGAGGTCAGATTGACTGAGTTAAACTGTCACCTAGAACCAAGATGATAGTTTCCTAATGTCTGAAGAATATTATAACATGAAACATATATTGCCCATTTTCTAGCATGTGGCTAATAAAGTCTTGGACTTATTAAAAAAGGCATTTAAAAAATGGAGACTGGAAGGTGAAAGAAGTTGTAGTGCAGATAATCAGTGTTTTAACTTGACTATTAGAATATCCTAATAGTTTTGGAAAATTACATTCTCTCTCATGGGGTACACTGAAATTATTCTTTTTAGATATATAAAGTCTCCCAAAAAATCTTTGTGCATCTGTGACATTTTTGTTAAATATGAAGTCATGAATCTTGTAGCTCTCTAAAAAGCAGTCATAATGGCCATTGCTCCCTTAGCCTATAGCTCAATTTATTTTAAACAGTAAATTTGCCTTTTCTAATAATTCTGCCTGCTATTCAAAATATCTCAGGGATTATATTTGGAAGAGTCAAAATAATTATATTGTTTTTCTAAAGGTCACAGTCAGAGTATTTTCATAATTTAAAAAGTCCTTTTAACTTTTCAACAATAATAGCACAAACTATTTCTATGTTCAAACTCATTCTGAAACCTCAGCCCCTTCAAATGCTCATAATTTTTATGTTAAACTAACTCAAACAGGCCTGACCTTGCATAGTTCCTGAGTAGCATCCAGGCATTGAACTCTGGGAATTTAATTTCACTCTTCTGTTCCACATGACCAGTTTTGAGGCAGGGCTGTGTGAGAAGGTCCTGGGATGCTCTCATCTCTCCTGCCCTTAGTACCCAAGCTCCACTGGGTAGTTCCAATGGAGATGGAAGAGAACTGTGCCCTGGAGAGAGACAGACCATCCTGATTAGCCAGTGGGGAGTCGGAGCCAGCTTCCTACCCACTCCAGCCAGAAGCTTGGAAACATTCAGAGTCCTTTGATTTCAGGTCCAACACTTTACATGCACAGTGTGCTTTAATCTTTCTTCTTTCCTTCCATTCTTGGCCCTGAGTGCAGGGTTTCCTGTTAGCACTACCAATGTGTTAAGGTAGCAGTCAAGGAGTGAACCTCAAGCACATTGGGTAATCCTGAGAGACAGAGAAAAAGAGACTCGCATGCTCAGATTAGGCACTAAAACTAGTAGGAATCCTTCTCTGAATATTGTGTACTTGTGTCCTTCATCTTCTAGGCAGGTGTTTTCTTCTCCCATACTATTTTGTGTATCTGAAAATAATAATAGCATTTATTGCATGCTAACTGTATTACCAGGCACCATTCAATATGCTTTACATAGATGACCAGTTAATCTGCAGAACAATTCTGCAAGAGAGTTATTCCTCTTTTATAGATGGCAAAATAGATACTCAGAAAATTAAGTACATTTCTTGGAGTAATATTGTAGTAAGAAATAGAAACAGAACTTAAACACAGATCTTTCAGATACTAAAGCTTGTGTTGTTTTGCACTACATCATGTTACTGCTTATCACATTTAAACTAATAAAAGGGTAATATGCTAATTAGATGGGATAGACCAACGTCCTTCTGGACAAAGCCAGGGTGGTGGGGCTGAAGCAGAGGCGGTTAGGGGCGATCAAGCTGGCAGGGGAGAGTGGTTAAGGATGATCAGGCCGGCGGGGGAGAGTGGTTAGGGGTGATCAGGCAGACAGGGGAGCGGTTAGGGGCATCAGGCAGGCAGAGGCGGTTAGGGGTGATCAGGCAGGCAGGCAGTGTGGTTAGGGGTGATCAGGCAGGTGAGTGGTTAGGGGCCAGTGGTCCCGGATTGCAAGAGGGATCAGGCCTAAACCGGCAGTTAGACATCCCTTGAGGGGTCCTGGATTGGAGAGGGTGCAGGCCAGGCTGAGGGGGGGGTCCCCCCCCCCCCCCCCCAGTGCACAAATTCTGTATTATAATCATGTTCCTAGCCAGATGGTGGAAAAGCATATCATTGAATAAGATAGGGAGAATGGGAGACACATATTTAGAAATATAGCATGTAATGAAGTAGTGTTTAAAATGTGAGTTCTAAAAGCAGATCCTAGCTTTATGTATTACAAAATGTGATTTTAGGTAAATAAGTTAATATTTGTATTAACTTATTTGTATTTCATCTGTAAAATTGGATGATAAATCTATTGCATAGGTTTGGTGTAAGAAATAATATGCGTAAAGCTCACATAATAGATCTCTAAAAATAATTGCTATTTTAGTGTAATTGTATCATTAAAGATTATGTGTATACAGTGGCCAACCATTAAATGCTGGGGATAACACATCAGGAGGTAATTTAGGTAGAAAGAAGACTAGAAGTGCAGAATTCATTGTTGTACCTAGTTTCATTAATTGATTTTATGTTGATTACATTTTTTGTTGCATTTTAGTATTACAGTAGGAACTCGTAATATTTTTAGGTCTCTGTAAAGTGAAATGATAAGGATTGAGCTCTCAGTCACACATTTCCAGGCCTTCTTTTAGGTGACTACATGGCTCTTAACTAGGAAATGATTGAGAATTTCCGACTTGGGAGGAAATTAATGCAATGTCCAGGTCATCTTCTAAAAAGCCCGGAAGAAAGTTGAGATCGTTCAGCCTGCATATTAAAGGTTATCAAGTTCAGCCTGGTGCACTTTCCAAGAAACTTCTTTGTGCCCCCTCAGACTCACTGAACTAGCCTTACTATGGCCCTGATGTCCGACCATGGGTCAGTGGTTGAGCGTTGACTTATGAACCAGGAGGTCACGGTTTGATTCCCAGGCAGGGTACGTGCTCTGGTTGCGGGCTCGATCCCCAGTGTGGGGTGTGCAGGAGGCAGCCAACCAATGATTCTCTCTCAACATTGATGTTTCTATCTCTCTCCCTCTCTAAAATCAGTCCTATCTAATAAAAGGGTAATATGCAAATTAACTATCACTCCATCACAAAGATGGCGGTGCCCATAGCCACAAGATGGCGGCGCCCAGTCCTCTCAGCCCCGCTGAAGTCCCCCAGTCCCGGGGGGTGGAGGGTGGCCGCTGAGAGCAGGCAGCATGAGCGGCCTGGCAGAATGCTTGCTTCATCACTGCGGCCATGGATGGGCCTCTGGCCATGCCGGGACGTGGAACGCTTGCGTAAGAAGAGAAGGAACCGGCGAGCTGAGCAGAGTCGAGTGGCTCCCGACTCCTGGGCAAGGTCAAGTCCGGGCGGCAAGATGGTGGAGGGGTGGAGGATAGTGTGACAGGAGGGGCTGGTGGTGGAGGCACAGGGGTGAAAGGTGGTCGAGAAAGAGGAAGGAAGCCCTTTATCAGAGTTCTGAGAACAGGCAGGGAAGTCATTTGCATTTCCCAGCCACAAATGGGCCTCTGGCCAGGCTGGATGGGGCGTGGATGGGCCTCTGGGCCGCAGAGAGCCTCTGGGCAGCGGGCGTGGAGTGGCCAGGCCCCGCAGAGAGCTACTGGTGCACAGATTCATGTGAAGGGCTACTATTAAAAATATATTTAAATAACAACAAAAACTATGGTCCTGACACCAGAGGACAGAGTTTCCTGATTGTCAGAGGTAAATTGAATGATTTGCTTTGAGAACTGCAGGTTGACAGTCTTTGTCTCCATCTTTCTGTCTGTCCTTGAATCAGCAGACTGCCCATGATGGGGATTCTGAGCATTTTTCTTATGAGTCATCATCAATTATAGTGTTACATTGCTGGAGTGTTCTTGTATTCCTTATGTCTAGGTTCTTAAAGGGAGAGCTCATACTTCTAGCATGCTCTGTGGTGCTTCTGCCATAAAAGGGCACAGTCACAGTAGCTCTCCCAAAGAGCTCCTAGAGCACAGGGCTTCAGGCATAGATGATCTATAAATAATTACCTGACAGTAGTATCACTTCTTCCTTGGAAAGAGACCCTGTGAATTAGGTCCTACTGACCCGCTCCAAGCCAATCGGTTCAATACAAGGTTGGACCTAAAGCAGCCTCCAGCATAGTAATGAGGTGTGTTAGGAAAAAGATACTTAGGCTAAAATATAGTGGTTCTTTAGGTCAACAGTCTCTGAAGAAAGCGTATAATGTATAATCTGTGAGGTGTGGGGAGAAAATAGTAAAAGTTCTTTATCCCAGCCTTTTAAAATTTCTGTTTTGCAGATTTATTTTATAATTATATAGCAGTCCATACAGTTTAAAGCCAGCAAATACATAGGATGCATATTAAAGGTACATAGCCAAATATCTTAGAGAATGTACACGCAAAAAAAAAAAAAAAAAAAAAAGTTATTGACCTTTTCAGTAAAGAGGTCATTTTCTTTTTAGTATTTTGAAAATTAGATCTAAAGATTAGCATTAGGCCCATAATTGTAAGTCTGAGTGGTTGATTAATAATGTCTCTATGTTTCAGGGGACTAATGTTGATCTGAGGATACTGTAAACAGGTGGAAAAAAGTGTAGAGTGGCTTGTCTACAACCATCAAAGTGAGAAGGGGAACTCTTTTTTTTTTTTTTTTCTTTATTTTTACTATTGACACTATACATATCCCCATTCTCCCTCCCTCCCCTCCCACACACACCCTGTCCTCGTGCATCCAGCCCCATTTCCCCCTTTCCTCTTGCCGTCATCATAG